ATCTAAATATATAAATAAATATATATATATACATATATATATATATATATATATATATATATATTTGATTAGATTCATGTTATAAACTTTTCTATAATATAAAAGTATATATTTTATACTACCGTCCAAAAATTTGGGGTCACCCATAGAATTTGTGCATTCCATCATTAAAACTCATACTTTTATTTATTGAAAGATTTGCAGAATGTAGTATATTCAAATATCAGTGATATAGAACATAGCTTGGACGCCAGCAGAGTTGATCCTCTGGTGTTCCTGGATTTCACCATGAACCTGACCTCTGCATTTAGCCAGCGTTTCAGATTTGGTTATATACTGTATATTTGGTATATATATCAAAGGTGGGACCAAGTCATTGCTTTGCAAGTCACAAGTAAGTCTCAAGTCTTTGCACTCAAGTCCGAGTCAAGTCTCAAGTCAAGACGGGTGAAGTCCGAGTCGAGTCCAAGTCAAGACTGAAAAGGTGTCAAGTCAAGTCCCAAGTCCTGCCGTTTCTGTTTCGAGTCCTTTTAAATAAAATAACAATATATTTACACAGATCACTTTGGGTTTTGGAGAAATGATCAAGTCTTGTCGAGTCAAAGGGGCCCCGAGTCCAAGTGAAGTCACGAGTCACTGATGTTAAAGTCCAAGTCGAGTTGCAAGTCTCTTTACATCTTGTCAAGTCGAGTCTAAAGTCATCAAATTGATGACTCGAGTCTGACTCGAGTCCAAGTCATGAGACTCGAGTCCACACCTCTGGTATATATGTTTTTATATATTGTCATTCTTCCAGTCCAGCATCTAATTTCCCCCTAGTCTGTATGGTAATGTTATTGATGAAATCTAGACACATTTCTTTAAATAGACTAGACTGAAGTCCAGGTACCACTTAGAGTCTAATCCCTATTTTGGAGGTGACTGGTGTAAAGAAGAAACTCAGGAGACAGAGAAAGCAAGGGATATGAAGAGATAGAGGCTGTTGGGAAAAGCAGGACTCTTTTTTCATTTTATTTTATTTTGATCACTGTATTTTAGCGCTAACAGAGTAAAGGCCTCTGTAATTCAACTACTGCTCTAATGTGTGTGTGTCTGCACGTGTGTCTGTAGGAGCGCACGAAGGGAGACTACCAGGCAGCCCTGCTCAGTCTGTGTGGAGGAGACGACTGACATTGCAACTCTCTTGAGGGCCAGCTCGTTGAACGCCGTCTCACAGCGTTCTCATTCTCATACTGAAATGTGAAATAAATAAATAAATAAATAAAAAAATAAATACGTGTAAGAAAAGCAGTACTTGATTGATTATTATTCTCCATGCTCACTGTAGGAATAGGAGCCGATTGCTCCCTGTTCTCTGCAAGCCGGGTGTGTGATATGACTGCATGACAACATTTTTAAATTCAAATTAAATTTACGTTTACATTTACTGCATTTGCAGACGCTTTTATCCAAAGCGACAATTTGAGGATTAACAGTGTTTATAGGAATTTTTGACCATTCTTCCAAAAGCGCATTGGTGAGGTCACACACTGATGTTGGTGGAGAAGGCCTGGGCTCTCAGTCTCCGCTCTAATTCATCCCAAAGGTGTTCTATCGGGTTCAGGTCAGGACTCTGTGCAGGCCAGTCAAGTTCATCCACACCAGACTCTGTCATCCATGTCTTTATGGACCTTGCTTTGTGCACTGGTGCACAGTCATGTTGGAAGAGGAAGGGGCCCGCTCCAAACTGTTCCCACAAGGTTGGGAGCATGGAATTGTCCAAAATGTTTTGGTATCCTGAAGCATTCAAAGTTCCTTTCACTGGAACTAAGGGGCCAAGCCCAGCTACTGAAAAAACAACCCACACCATAATTCCTCCTCCACCAAATTTCACAGTCGGCACAATGCAGTCTGAAATGTACCGTTCTCCTGGCAACCTCCAAACCCAGACTCGTCCATCAGATTGCCAGATGGAAAAGCGTGATTCATCACTCCAGAGAACGCGTCTCCACTGCTCTAGAGGCCAGTGGCGGCGTGCTTTACACCATTGCATCCGACGCTTTGCATTGCACTTGGTGATGTGTGGCTTGGCTGCAACTGCTCGGCCATGGAAACCCATTCCATGAAGCTCTCTGCGTACTGTACTTGGGCTAATCTGAAGGTCACATGAAGTTTGTAGCTCTGTAGCAACTGACTGTGCAGAAAGTCGGCGACCTCTTTGCACTTTATACACCTGTGGCCAGGCCGAGGGATTAGGACACCTGATTCTGATCATTTGAACGGGTGAGCGAATACTTTTGGTAATATAGTGTATTTTGTCTTATTACTTTTTTTTTTTTGATGTGCTGTTATATGTATATTTTTGTATATATAAATAGGAAACAAACATTCTGAAAATTCTCATGTGACGCAACTGTGTCTCTGTGATCAGACTACCCTCACAGTGTGATTTGTTCTGACTGGATAACTTTACTACATTCATCCCTCCCTAATTTTTCTGTCTGGCTTTGATTCTTTTACCAAAGTGTTCATTATATTCTATCACAGACTTGGTCAACAAAATTAACGCTGGCTGTAAACTCCAACAGCGGTACTTTATTTTACGCATGCGCGCACACACAAACGCATGCACGAACACCCTAGTGCTGAGTTCAAGCTGGTCCTTGTTAAGGAAAATGATGCAAATCACTAGAGGGAGCCAAAGTACCGCAACACACAAGGCCAACGGCTGATTATTAGACGTTAACGTTATATTATGTGTTGATTGAACGATCATGCATGAGCAAAGTAACAGTATCATTTAGAAATAAAATGATATCTTTCTATACGTATTTATAATGAAAACCCAGAGCAATAGAATAGGTCTTTAATACATTTCAGGAAATTTTTGAATTATCTGAAAAGCTGATACACACACACACACACACATAACGTGCAATATAATTAAAAAAAATGATAAGATAATAATAAAAAATCTAAATTACGTGTGAAAGAGACAATGAGCATTGTCATAAAAATATTTAGATATTTATTTCAACAATGCTTCAATAATACATGAAAAGCACAAGTAACTGCAAAACTGGCAAATTTCAGACATTTAAAAAAAAAAAAATCTGTAGCCTGGGATGTGATTTTTAAAAAATAAATTATTTCTTGACTCAACAAGAAAATTTGTGGTATCGCTTTAATCTTTTTATTTCAGAAAAACCATTAATGAGCACTCGCCACAAATCTCTCTTGTTGCGTACGCTAGATAACCGTAGTAGGCACAAGATGATCAGCTTTGTTTCCTACCAGGTGAATAATGTTGAACTACCTCCATTTTTGTTGGGTGAAAATGACTTGATATAGTTGTTTTATATTGATATGATATTGATTTTATATTGATCTTTTCTCAACAGAAAACATAATGGTTTTAATTTTATTAGTAACTCGTTTCTTTTACGATCAGAATAAACGCACAACTCGCCAGTTGACTGTCAAACGTAATGACTATCAACAGATCATTTGTGAGGATACAGATGGGTTGTAAACAAATCTGTGCCATACATTAACAAAAAATATTTCTTTCTACCTCTTTCTTGAGGATAGAACTAAATTAACTTTTCAAAATGTTATTTTTTTATTTAATTTCTTTTCAGTAACATGACCTTTTAGATCACCCAGAAATATAATTTTATTCAGCATGTTTAATTATGAATTGTATCAGACATATCCAGGCTTTCCAGGACCTCCGTTTCCTTTCCTTGTAAATGATTATTGCAACAACCTGATCACATAATTGGGCACCTCTGGCTACAACAGCATCCATCACCTTATTAGAAATGTCCCCACCACCTTCCTGGCAAAAACGAAACAAACATGATTTGAACAAAAAAAATTTTTTAGGAAATTGTGGTGGGTCTGAACATGCCATTTAAGTTCTTTTTTTTTAAGTACGATTCGTTTTCCACAAAACATAAACATTTTTTCACAGGAAATGTCAAGAAGGAAGTATTTTAATACACCATGTTTTCCACACTATAAGTCGCAATGTTTTTCATTCTATGGCTGGCTTTGCGACTTATACTCAGGTGCAACTTATATATAAAAATATATAATTTCACGTTTGTTATTTTCACACTGACAGCCGCTAGGGGGCACTGGTGTGACTTAAATGTTTTTTTCCTCATTACGCATTTCTTGGCTGGTGCGATTTATACATAAGTTACGGTGCAACTTATATTCCAGAAAAATACGCTAATGATTAGTGAGAAGTGTTCAAATTATTAGTTGATATAAGTTCAAAAAAGGAAGTAAAAAATACAGGAAACCATGTTAACAAAAAAAAATTCCATCCTTAAAACAAATATGCAACTGTATGGGTTCGAAATTGAACATTTTATTAAGTGCAAAGTAAAAAATCTTACAACAACGTGTAATTAATGAAAAGGGGGCTCGCCTGTCTTTGTATCGCGTGTCCAGGAGGAGCGTGTGTTTCATTGGTTTTATTTCGTTGTCAGCGCCGCTGTCAGTTCACAATGAAGATTTGGGAATGAGTAGTTGAAGCTAGGTTGAGGCAGGAAGTGGAGATTTGTGAACAACAGTATGGTTTCATGCCTAGAAAGAATACCACAGATGCAATATTTGCCTTGAGGATGCTGATGGAGAAGTACAGAGAAGGTCAGAAGGAG